TCCTCTGGCCTGACGTCCAATCTTCTGACATGTTTTCCTCCGGCCCAACATGATTCTTTCTGCTTTAATTGTCTCATCCTGATCAAAGCATCCTGGGTCACTTAAAACGTAGATCAAATCATAAATACTATCAATTGGTTTCATCATCAAAATACGAGATTCAACAAGTTGATCTTCGCTCATTGAAGGAAGATTGTCAATGGATACCGGTAGCCTCGACGGAAGAGGAATCAGATGAGTGGATGTAGGTCACGATGACTGAACCACTATAAAAATCTGGTTTGTAATTATTTCTTGCCATTTACCTTTATTGCAAATGAAATTCTTACTTTTGCTACACTTTGCTTTCAAGTTAAACATTTTCGAGATCGGATTTTATCGTACGAAGAAATTTCAAATCGATATTTTTATCCGCTGCACTAATTCACCCGCCCCCCCCCCCCCCCCTCCTTAGTGTCGACTCATTTTTAACAGTTGGTATCAGAGCTATGTTATTTCTTATTTGGTTTAACACCTAAGAGAAATTACTCTTTTCGGATTTTAAGAGGGTTTTTCTATCGTTCGTCCTCTCATGTTCAATGGGATGGACTATACTTATTGGAAAACTCGGATGTGAGTTTTCTTGCTTTCTATGGATTTGAATTTATGAAATACTATCGAAAATGATTTTAAAAAGTCTTCTACTCCAATAAAAGAATGGAATGATTTAGAGAAGAGAACTTTTTCTTTAAATGTTAGAGCTATGAATGCTCTATTTTCTGTCTTAAACAAAACTGAATTCAACTAAGTTTCTATTTGCGAAACGACTTTCGATATTTGGTACACTCTTGAAATCACACACGAAGGCACTAGTAGAGTTAAAGACTCTAAAATAAATATTTTGATGTGTGATTTTGAATTATTTCATATAAAGCCAAGCAGGACTATTGGAGACATGTACACTCATTTTACGAATGTCGTCAATAGTCTAAAAGCTTTTGGTAAAAGTTTTTTGAATCTTAAACTTGTGAATAAAATTTTACGATCACTTTCTAAAAATTAGGATTCTAAAGTAATGGCAATATTCCAGCGGACTCTCGGCAAGCTCCTGGACTTTATGACGATCTTCCTGGCAAGTTCTAACGAGCTTCTCTAGCAAGCTTTTAGACTTTTCGGTCAATTTCGACAGAACTTCTGACGAACTTTAGAACTTCCAACGAAGTCTCATTCTTGACTCTGGGACTTCATTTTGCTTTATGCCTTGCTATCGTAGTTAATCCTACACACATAAAACCTACTTCGATCTAGACAATTATTATAAGGCTTAAATCAAATGTTGTCTAGCATGTCATTGGTTTATCGACGCTTCGTCCGATTCTTCGGCACATTGTCCTATCTTGTGGTCTATTGCCCAATCGGTCAGTTGACCTCTACAATTCTGATTTCCTTGGCGTAATTTTTGCTCTTCTTGGCCCGATGCCCGAACCCATGGCCCGAGGCCTTCGATCGATACGTTGACCGATCCTTTGGCTCTACGTCCAATCTTCTGACATGTTTCTCTCCGGCCGAACATGATTCTTCCTGCTTTAATTGTCTTTCCCTGATCGAAGCATTCTACATCACCCAAAACGCAGATCAAATCATAAACACTATCAATTGATTTCATCATCAAAATCCAAGATTCAACAATGTAAAAATTTGCTAGCTTGTATAATGTAAAATTTATTACAATTGCTAGCTTGAACATTGCAAAGGAAGCAAAAATTGCACTTCTCAAATAAAATGAGAAAAACTTGCTATCTTGAACATCACCAAGAATTGCTAGCTTATTGTCTTGCACATTTCAAAAGATGTAAAAATTTGCTAACCTTCATGTATGAAAAACTTGCTAGCTTGCATGTTCTAAACTTGCTATTTACTATCTCGCATTATTTTTCAAAAACTTGCTAGTTTTCATACTTCAAAGAGAAGTAGCACTTGTTCTAATATAATGTAACATTTGCTAAATTTGCTAGCTTGCATATTGGAAAATGATGTAAAACTTACCAAAATTACTAGTTTGCATGAAGTAAAACTTGCTTGTATATCTAACGAGAAGCAAAAGTGCTATCTTGCCTATCTCAAGAAGTAAAACTTGTAACTTGCACATTGCAAAATAAAACAAGAATTGCTAGCTTGCACACTTCAACAAGAGGAAAAAATGCTATCTCATTCTTTTTTTGAAAACTTACTAACTTAAACATTGCAAAGAAAAGCAAACATGCTAAACTCAACACATCTCTAAAACTTGCTAGCTTGCATGATGATAAATGCAATGATTTGAAATTATATATCAAAAGCTTGTATAGTTTCACTTCTCCTTTTTGTTGATGACAAAGGGGGAGAAGTTATGTTGATGATATGCATATAATGTATTACAAATATTCATGATGAAATATTACTTTGACTTGAATTCAATTTGAATTCAAGGTTCATCTCACATATGCCATATTGATAGAAGGAGTTAAGGTTAACTCCGTCATCAATTGGTTGTCATCATCAAAAAGAGAGAGATTGTTGAATCTCGGATTTTGATGATGAAACCAATTGATAGTGTTTATGATTTGATCTGCGTTTTGGGTGATGTAGGAAGTTTCGATCGGGGAAAGACAATTAAAGCAGGAAGAATCATGTTCGGCCGGAGAGAAACATGTCAAAAGATTGGACGTAGAGCCAAAGGATCGGTCAACGTATCGATAGAAGGCCTCGGGCTATGGGTTTGGGCATCGGGCCAAGAAGAGCAAAAATTGCGCTAAGGAAATCAGAATTGTGGAGGTCAACTGACCGATTGGGCAATAGACCACAAGATAGGACAATGCGTCGAAGAATCAGACGAAGCGTCGATAAACCAATGACATGCCGGACAACATTTGATTTAAGCCTTATAATAATTGTCTAGATCGAAGTAGGTTTTAAGTGTGCAGGATTAACTACGATATTAAGGCATAAAGCAAAATAAAGTCCTAGAGTCAAGAACGAGACTTCATTAGGAGTTCAAGAGTTCGTCGGAAGTTCTATCGGAATCGACCGAGAAGTCCAAGAGCTTGCTAGAGAAGCTTATCGGAACTCGCCAAGAAGATTGTCATGAAGTCTAGGAGTTTGTCGGGAGTTCGTTGGAACATTACCGAGAGATCATCGTAAGTTCGCCGGAAGATCGCCGGAAGCTCGCCGAAAGAAATCTGAACTTACAAACTTATTTAGCTTAGTAAATGTCTTAAAATTCATAGTTTGTATATAATTGGGTTGGAATTAAGCCAACTTAATTATGGGCCAAGTGAAAAGGCTCAAACAATGACCCAACATGTAGAATAGGCGTGGCACAATCTCCGAGACTATGTCAGGTGGTGGTACTGCCCAGACTTAGTCTCCGAGACTGTCAAGCGGTGGTACCGCCTAGTGTCAGGCTGTAGATGATGGTACCGCCCATACCCCGAAATTTCAGGGATTTGAATTTTGGCTCCAAGTTTTGAAGTCATTTGGAGTCTATAAATACCCCAGTTATTCCTGCATAGAATAGCAAGAAAGGTGATAAAAAAACTCTATGTTTCTAAAGTTGAAAACTGTTGTAAAGTGTAGAGTCCCTCCTCCTAAAGTTTAGAGATCATTCTAAGGGAGAGTGTGAGGGAAGCTTTGTAAAAAAGGGCTGTAAAGGTTTTCTCCTGAACCTGTCAAAAGGAGAATCGAGTTGTAAGGGTAGTTGATATTCGCACACTGAAGGAAGATCATTAGTGGATACCGGTGGTATTGACGGAAGAGAAATCGACGAAGTGGATGTAGGTTATGACTACCGAACCACTATAAAAATCTAGTTTACATTTATTTCTTACTATTTACCTTTATTGCAAACAAAATTCTTATTTTCATTACTCTGCATGCTTTCAAGTTAAGCATTTTCGAGATTTGAGTTTATCGTACGAAGCTCCCCCCTCTTAGTGCCGACTCATTCCTAACAATTTAAACATTACCTTAGACTAGCAAGATATTTTGAATATCTACTATTAGGATAAAATAGAATATCAAGTGAATAATTTGCTGCATTAAATCTCAGCTAAAAATAGGGAACAAACGGGATCACAATAAATCTCTAGCTCCAAGGGAGATGTACCAGAACTAACCTCATTATTTTTCTATGGTAACATGATGCCATCATAAAATGAGTATAGGTAAATTCTAATATATATACATGAATTTATCGTTTTATTTTTTCAAATAAATAAATTAAATAATATTTTAGATTTGATGAATAATGTAACTAAAAACATGGATTTATTATTTTGAGTTAAGGCCAATAGTCTCATTTATACATCACCTTTAGACTAGCAAGATGTTTAGAATATCTGCCATTCGAATAAAGTAGAACGTCAAGGTGGAAGATTTGCCGCATTAAATCTCAGCTAGAAAAAGAGGAGAAACGAGATCATAAATCTATCGCTATGAGGGAGCTGTATCAGAACTAATCTTATTATTTTTCTATGATAACATGATGCCAACATAAAATGAGTATATGTGAATTCTGATATATATATATATATATATATATATATATGAATTATTATTTTATTTTATTTTTAAAATAAATAAATTAAATAATATTATAAATTTGATGTATAATATAACTAAAAATAAAATATTTATTACTTTAAGTTAAGACCAATAGTGACATTTATACATCACCCTTAGACTAGCAAGCTATTTACAATTGTTTGATATGATGTGAATATGCAAAATGATATTTAGGAATAAAACAATTAATATCAATAATGCAAAAAAGAAATAGAGGAAGATGCAACAAAATTTAAGAAAAATAAATATTCTCAATTTGATTAAGGAAAACGAGTATGTATTAAAAAGCGATAAATGATGCTCTCAAATATTGTTATTTCGGTAACAGTGATTAATATTTCTTTTATTTTATTTTTCTTTATTTCATCTCTAGCAAAATAACCGGTGGCAAAGGAATTAATGGATCCTTTGACGCGCAGATCCGGTAACCCGCATCCAACTCGCCAACTTCAAAACTGCCCCTATAGATCTGCTATTTAATTACCTTGTAAGATAACGTCTGCTTAGTCTCCCGCCCCTACCCGACCCCCCCTCTTTCGGCGATCAGATCGGTGGTGACGGATCGTAAACGATTCCGATCGCCAGATCCCATCTTCTCGGCAGGGTTCCCGGAGAGATTCGATAGATCTGGTCGCCGGCCCGTCCGCCCGCGATGTTTCTTTTCGATTGGTTCTACGGAGTTCTCGCCTCACTTGGGTTGTGGCAGAAGGAGGCCAAGATCCTGTTCCTGGGGCTCGATAATTCCGGGAAGACGACGCTGCTTCATATGCTCAAGGACGAGGTCGGATCCTTGTCCATCTGATCAGTTTTGTTGATTTCTTTTGATCGAAGGGCATTTTGATTGGATTTGTTTGATCGAATGCAGCGACTGGTTCAGCACCAGCCAACGCAGCACCCGACATCGGAGGAGCTGAGCATCGGGAATATCAAGTTCAAGGCGTTTGATCTGGGAGGTCATCAGATCGCACGGCGCGTGTGGAAGGATTACTTCGCTAAGGTGCGTCATCTTTCTACGATCCTTTTTGTCATGCTTGGTTAGGCATCCAATTCTTGTTTCGGTTGTTTTAGGTCTCTTCATATGTCTGTTTGAAACACGTTATCTGGTTTTTCTTCTTCTTCTTCTTCTTCTTCTTCTTCTTCTTCTTCTTCTTCTTCTTCTTGTGCGGATACGGTTCTTTTTATTGCTCAGTTATTCTTTTCTTGTCTTGGTACATCTTCTTCCTGATCTCGTTTCTATAGTTCTTGTGGTTTTGAATTGAGAAATCCCTAAAAATTATGCTTGTGTTCCCTCTGGCTTCTCTGTTGTTTTTGTAGTGGTTTATGTAGGTACAATTCTGTTGTCCCTCGTTACTCTCTTTAGTTGAATTCAAAAGCACAACAGATGTTGCTTGTGAAAATATGATTTATAGGATGGAGCTTCAGAGTGGTTTTGTGAGGATTGCCTCCGGTACATAATTCGACCCAGACTCCTCTGTCTCTGTCCATCACGTATATCCCGTACGGTAGAGCCTCATGCGTCAATACAGTAGTATCTGCTCAAAATACTGTCAGATTGGTCCATACTGAAAGGTATTTTATCGGTTCATTAGTGAACCCTTCCTTCGCCTTTTCCTCCACCACCCCTCCTTTTGGATACCATTGCACATACTGTGTGTTGCAGCCATGGAATACGTCTTGTGTCTCGTACCCATGATACTATTTTGCAAGCGAATTATTTGAGGTCGAGGTTCACTATTTGGTAATACTTTCTTCCATATACATTATTCTAAATTCTAACTGACACTCCAAATGGGTATTTCTTATTAAACTAGTCAATTGACAGACAGATAGATGAATTTGGTTATTCCTTTGAGTTGGATACATGGAGTACGTTCTATTGGGCATCATGTCACCGGCCCAAATGATAACGAACGTATCAATCTTGCACTAAAGGTTATCACGGGGTGTTAGGTTCCCGTGCGAGTCTTTTTTCCACGATCTAAGTTAGTACATCAATCATGATTAGTAAAAAGAGTATATAGAAGGGATGACACTTACATTGGCTTATAGCTATGCTTTTGCTTCGTGCAGATAGGGTTGCAATATAATATAGGTTTAAAATATCCAACACGATTATCAAAAAGAAATTAGTTTGGTGAAAAAGAAATTAAATCAATCCATATTAATCAATTTTTTTGCTATCTTGAATGAACCTATTGGGTCACATAACACCGAACCAATATAGCTAAGGTTACTTAAATGTCCTTCGTATAAGTCTTATTATAATTTATTTTAGAAGATAATTTAAGTGATTTTAAATTAGGATTAAGAGGAGAAAGAAAGTGCTATTCCTAATTCTTTTCCTTCCACCACTTACCCTCTGACCCATCTTTTTTTTTTTGGTCACTCATCTTCTCATATCCATCTTTTTTTTTTTTGGTCACTCATCTTCTCATATCCCTTCTTATTTGCAAACTCTTTTACGATCGATCACAAGTTTCTATTTGTTTCTCCTTCTTTGAAAACTCCTTTACCACCGATCACTCCTTTCTTTTTTAAAAGATTTTCTTCAATTTTCTCCTTTTTGCCATGATCACTCTCTCGCTTTTGCAATTATTTCTCTACTGATTCCTTCTTACAGTATCTCATTGTACGTGAGTGAAAATTTTTAATATGATATGGAATAAACTTAGCAGAATCATCGAGTGGAATTTTGATGACTAAAAATAATAATTTTGATTTATAAGAAATATATATGTATCCAATATTTGAATCATGATCATTAGGTTTGCTGAACTATTTTTTTGATATTGAACAATTTATTTTGAATGAGACTAATGTTTTACTTTATGAATATTATCATGTCATTTAATCAGGATAAATATTTATGTTTACAATGTAGGTTGATATTATTCATTTTATCTCATTCTATGTTCCTATATGACCAAGTTTTGGGTTCAATCATGTTTAAGATTGTTCCATTTTTTTATTAATTTTGATTTTTTTAATTTTAAAAATATTTTTAAATACTATATATATACTTAAGATATTATATATTTTAAAATATTTCTTAATTAAAAATGCAATCCAACCAAATGATCTTTTGATCTGACCAATAATGCATTGATCTAAGATTCGGACGTGTTGCTATCTGATTCGGATCTCTGCGTTCTATATAGATGCTCTGTCCAAAACAGTAAGAATGTTCGGTGAGAGATTTCTAAATTGGTCACCACATTAATGTGTAGATGTAACCATAGTAATATCCAGATGTGAATTCGCACATGGACCGGCGCTCCTGACCACAGCCTTGGTCAGCTAGGTGGATGTGAAACCTTTTACAAAATGGCTACCCAGCTAACATCATGCACAGGTCACCGTCAAGACATTCACATTTGATTGGTTACGGAACACTCTGAATTGACGACACCAGCCTATGTTCTGAACAAGGCGTAGACAGATAAATACCTCAGGGGATGCCAAAACATATGGTGAAAATTAAAATATTCATATTGTTATGAATGCCATTTAATTTGTACCGACAAAATTTAACAATGATGGACACAGGCACTACCGACAATTTTATTGTCGATCGAGAAGCAAAACAACTTGGGCTGATGTTATAGAAGAACCCAAGTCAAATGAAGATGGTGAACTCAAAGGCCAAGCGAATCTTTGGGTTAGCAAAGGGAGTTCCCATCAAGATCGAAACATGGAGCGGGAGCATAAACATGATGGCGATGCCACTAGACGACTTCCAAGTGATTCTTGGAATGGAGTTCATGAACGCGACGAAGTTGGTGCCAATGCCATTCCTAAACTCCCTATGTATGATGGGAGGTGACGACCCCTGTGTGGTTCCTATCTTTCGGAGAGGAACCAGGGAACCCCAATAGATATCGGCATTACAACTGAAGAAAGGGGTACGAAAAGATGAATTAACATTTATGGCTGCTATGAAACTAGACCCACTCGATGAGGAGGCCATTCATGAACCCGCTGTGGTGGCTAATGTTCTGAAGGAGTTCACGGACGTTATGCCACCTGAGTTACCGAAGACTCTGCCACCACACAAAGGCATTGATCATCTTATCGAGCTGGAGCCAGGAGTGAAGCATCCAGCGAGACCACCATACCGCATACCCCCTCCAGAGTTGGTAGAGCTCAGAAAGCAGTTAAGTGAACTGCTAAGTGGTGGTCTCATCCGTGGTTCCAAAGCACCATTCGGAGCTCCAGTTCTCTTCCAAAAGAAACAAGATGGGAGCCTCCAACTATGCGTTGATTATCGAGCCCTCAACAAAGTGATGATGAAGAACAAGTATCCCATCCCACTCATCGCGGACTTTTTTGACTAATTGGGCAAAGCAAAGTATTTCTCCAAACTCGACCTCCGGTCGGGGTACTGGCAGGTGCGCATTGCTGAAGACGATGAAGCGAAGACTACCTATGTGACCATATATAGAGCGTTTGAGTTTTTGGTGATGTCTTTCGGCTTAACCAACTCTCGGGTCATGTTCTGCACTCTTATGAACCAACTATTCAAAGAGTATTTAGATAAATTTATGGTCGTCTACTTGGACGATATTGTCATCTATAACCAAATGCTCGAGGAGCATGTCGAGCACCTTCGGACAATTTTTAAGGTTCTCAGGAAGAATACTTTGTTCATGAAAAGAGAGAAGTGCTACTTTGCTTAAACGGAGATCTTATTCTTGAGGCATCAAATCGGTGATGGCTCCATTCAGATAGACAAATCAAAGGTGCAAGTCGTTGCGGAATGGCGAACTCCGAAGAAGGTGCTAGAGTTGAGATTCTTCCTTGGTTTCATCAATTACTATCGATGCTTCATAGCGGGGTATTCGAAACATGCAACTCCACCGACGGAGTTGCTAAAGAAGGAGCAACCTTGGTGGTAGTCTGACAAATGTGAAGCTGCATTTCAAGATCTGAAGGCAGTAATTGTATTAGAAGAATCGGTGCTCAAATTATCGGACTATGGGGAGCCCTTCGAAGTCCATACAGATGCTTCAGACTTTGCTATTAGAGGAGTACTCATGCAGGAGAGTCATTCGGTGGCCTAGGAGAGCCGTAAGCTCAATGAGACTGAGTGACGGTATCCGATGCATGAGAAGGAGATGACAGTGGTGGTCCATTATCTACAAGTTTGGCGACACTACCTTCTTGGATCACGATTTGTGCTAAGGACATACAACATCGCTTTGAGCTATTTTCAAACTCAAAAGAAACTCTTCCCAAAGCAAGCATGATGGCAGGACTTCCTGGCTGAGTTTGATATGGTAATGGAATACAAGCCCGGAAAAGAAAATGTCATGGCCAATGCATTGAGTCGAAAAGTGGAGCGAGTGAATTCCATACAATTGGAGGGCAGAGGCTAAGCAAGTTAGTTGCACTCCGACTTCCTTTCCAGGATCAGGGATGGACTGTACAGTGATCCGCAAGCAATAACCCTGATGCAGCTTATCAAAGAAGGCAAGGCACGATGATTTTGGGTCCAGGAGGGACTCGTTTACATAAAAGAGAATAGGGTTTATGTTCCTCGAGTGGATAATTTAAGGCATGAACTCTTAAGAGAGTGTCACGATTCCTTTTGGGCTGGACATCTAGGTATTCACAAAACATTGGCTCTCATGGAGAGGGCCTTTTACTGGTCAAAAATGGGGATTGATGTGGAAGAATATGTTCGAATGTGCCTCACTATCCAACAAAACAAGGTAGAGCAACGACAGTGGAAGTTGGTGGGACTTTTGGAACCGTTGCCTGTGCTAGAAAGGCCGTGGGAGAGCATTTCGTTGGATTTCATATCAAGCTTGCCGGTGGTAGGGGGACTCAGATCGATACTCATGATGGTCGATCGATTTTTAAAGTATGTAACTTTCATTGTTGCACCCCTACACTGTTCAGCAAAGGAAGCAGCCAAGCTGATAATGAAGAATGTGATGAAGTATTGGGGAGTCCTACGAACCGTTTGTCACTTTTGTATACTTGTGCAAAGACATGACAGTATATTTTGCCTTGGTTTTGTGTGTTTTTGCTTGTAAAAATACATATTCGAACAGGTTGCAGCGCTACAGTGCGACCGCTCACCGTGTCGGGCCAAAAAGCCCTAAAATGGCTCTGTTTTCGTATGCCGCGGGCTATTTTCTACAGCTTGCTATAGCGCCCAAAACATTAATCATCTCAGCACCCTGGAACCCCTTAGATAGCACAGGGCTGGATGAGGCTTCGGTATATTGTCGGGCGCTAAAAAATTTTCACAAATTCGCATATTAATTTGACAGGAACTTAACTTCGCGCCCGACACCCGTTGAGTTATTGTTTGTGGACTTGCAACTGTTCGTTCTATCTTCTAAAGTCTTTACTTTCTCATTCCTCTCTTTTCTCTCTTGCACTCAAGGTGATTGTTGAATTGTTTATAAAACTTCCCTCTTCGCGAGACGCCGGGACTTGTCCATCGCTCATTTTTAATTTAATCAACTTTCTGTTTTACAGGTCCTTCGGGACCTGTATGAAGTTGCAACTAGGCTAAACCTTTGCGAATGCATATGTCGCAAGGGCACCTCATGACTTTGGCAATCTCAGTTAAATCCGAGGAGTTGGCGCAAGGGTGCGTCGTGACTTAGGCAATTCAAGCTAAGTTCGCGACTTGATCGCAAGGTTGCCTCGCGGCTTAGGCAATTCTAACTAAGTCCGTGACACTGTATCATCCATAAATATGCTTTGCATTCATCGAGTGTGCCTGAGCCTTCCTTTTTCTAATCTATTTAGCAAATTAGATCTTAAGAATTAGGCAAACTATGTATCAATTTCATAATACACTGGAATCGATCAATTTGTTGCCGATGCTATGCTGCAGATATGCTCAAATGGCAGACCCGATGATGCACCCTGATGGTTCGTTAAACTTTGTCACCATCTCTAGCTGACTTATTCGTGAAACATTCTTGCGAGCTTGTTCGTGACTTATTCTGTTGTTGACCTGCTACTCTAGTCATTTTTGCCTATCTGTACAACAAATGTGCTTTTCTAAATAGGTGGACGCAGTGGTATATCTAGTGGACGCATGGGACAAGGAGAGGTTTGCAGAGTCCAAGAAGGAACTGGATGCGCTCCTCATTGACGATGCCTTGGCAAATGTCCCGTTCCTCGTCCTGGGGAACAAGATCGACATCCCACATGCGGCATCTGAGGAGGAGTTGTGCTTCCACCTAGGCCTGCACCACTTCATAACCGGGAAGGGCAAGGTTAAAATTACCGACCCCAATGTCCGCCCCGTTGAGGTCTTCATGTGCAGCATCGTGCGCAAGATGGGTTACGGTGATGGCTTCAAATGGCTTTCGCAATACATAAAATAGGACCCTATTTTGATGTGGCTCAACCTGTCATTTGATTTTGGATTTTAGTGGGATGCAGTGCATGGCCATCCTGATGTTTTCCATTCGTTTCGCATAGTACACAGACAAAGACAGGATTACATCTTCCCCTTCGAGCTATAGTTCCTCATGTGATGCTCGATTTTTTGTTGCTACAACTTGATCTGTTACAGTTTCTCATGAGCAATTTATACTTGGATTGATCTCTTGTTTTGGGACTGATGGTCCACTGACATAGACGCAGCTAACTAATGTTTGGTGTTATCAAACCAGCTTAAGCTTCTATTCTAGATAAGACCTGGAAGTGACTCTGTCCTAGCTTAACGGCTTTATATTTTGGGCCTATAGTTTCGATGCTAAATTGCCAAGTAGAAATATTGCTGCTAATGTGCCCCACATATTGGTTGCTTCAAAGTAAGCATGCATAGCTTTCTGATGCCCATTCTTTGAACAATCAAAATTAAGGTAACATTCGGACAATCACTCGAGATACTAGGTTATTCATTATGAATAATAAGGGCAGTTTTTCAAGAATAATTTACTAATATGGTGAAACAATCAATCTGTTGCTTATGTCAATGCACTTCATTTATCCATGTTAAACAATATGGAGCAAGGGTTACTTTAACTAAGCCCGGTACTACCAGCTCTACTATAATGCACGGATCGGTACATTCGTGTGTCTTTCTTTGTCTCCTTATGACTTAAAAAGCCAAAGGACGAGCAAGAAACAAGTCTTTTTCATTTTTCTCCCTTTTAGATCCTGGTTTTCATTCCGTGTGCATTTTATATATTTTTTTAATGCCCCAACAAGAATATAATATATTTTATTTTATTTTTTAAGCTTCTACATCATCAACTAGATTTTCAAAAATAATTAAAATACTGACTAAAATATCTCATAAATAAATAAATAATAATATGATGTAATACGATAATTCATCCATTTAACTTGTTTAGTCTAATCACTAATCTAAGATACTTAAAATCTGGCCGTCACAGGCGACGTGATGATGAACTTTTCGTGCGTGCTGCATCGTGTGGAAAGATCGAGCTCTGTACGATGATGGTACGTTGTTACACATCTACCCTTGCTGAGTTTTAAGAATAGCGAACATGGCCCTACATGCTGTACCTATTAAGATTTTAATTTGAGTTGATAATTATATTTAATTATTTTTAGTATTCTTTTTTTTTTCTTTCAAAAGTTAATTCTTATATTTATGAAAGTGAAACATTTAACCCATTACTTCAATAAATTTTTTTTAAAATTTTTTTAATCTTATAAAATTATTTTTCAATCACATATAGGGATTTCAATATTTTATTTTTATAAATATAAAGATCCTAATATAATTTTTAAAAATATAAAGATCAAAATACTAAAAATAATTAATTACAGAAAATAATATGTAATTAACTTGTTATATACTATGCTTAAGCATAATCATATATTTGAAGATATATGTGACATGTATTTAATTAGATAATTTAATCTTTTTCTTATCATTCTTAAATGAAAAAGACGAGCAATGAAACACGCAAAAAATATATTTTTTTTTCTTGACATTCATTTTTTTCCTATGTAGAATAGTGATATCGAGTGGCAAGTGCCGGCCGGTCTAATTAGAATTGGGCAAAAGACCCGGCCCTGGGAGGGATCGACACCGTCCGGTCCGGTCCAGTTCGGTGCGGTGCCGGACCTCAGAGAATTCTAAGGGACACCGCGTTCGTTGGGCGGACTGTTCCCTGCTGCTTTTTCGTCTCCAGATCGTTATTCCCGGCTTTCCGCTCCGTCGCTTGCACTGGATTGCCATTCGATGAGCTGAATTAATAGGCGCAACGATCGCTTGTTGGGAGGGGGAAGGGACGTCAACCCGTCGAATCGTTGCCCTGCGACTTGCTGCGGCTCGCCAGAATCGCCTTCAAGCTTTTGATTTTGAATCCGGTTGTTCTCTTGCTGTGATCTCTGTCTGCAGCGCGGCGCCTCGCGTTGTCGCCTCCTCTTGATTGCGTCTGGAGAGTTTGGAGCCAAAGGTCGAACATTTGAGGACCGCGGAAAGCGGGTTGGACCAGAGGTCGAAGCTTCGTACGATTTCAGCAGCACATACAGGGGACGGAAGGCGGGAAACTTATAAGGGTTTCGATGGGGAGAGTGAAACTGAAGATAAAGAGATTGGAGAATAGCAACAGCCGGCAGGTCACCTATTCGAAGAGGAAAATTGGGTTGACGAACAAGGCGAAGGAGCTATCTATTTTGTGCGATATCGACTTGGTCCTTCTCATGTTCGCGCCTAATGGGAAGCCTACCATATGCGTCGGAGACCGCAGGTACTAGCTACTATTACCACTCGGTCATCTTTCATGGCCATGCGGTTGTTTCAATAATTTGGCAGTTCTCTTTGCTATATCAGATTTTGAGAAACATGTTCTTTCTTTTTTTGTCTGATTGCTGCTGAATGTTTCTAAGTGTGATGATGCATTTTGAGTGGGTTATGTATGTTGTTTAGTTGAGGTTGAACCTCAGGGTCATGGTAAGGTTGCTAGGTAAGTAAAGTTTGGGAGTAAGGTTGCATGCATTGACCCTTTCTAGATCTTGTATTTGGCAGGAGCCATGTGCATTGAGCTGCCCTTATATTTGTTGTTTAATTCTGTAAATAGTCTTTCATAGGCAATGGAATGAGATCCTCTTGACTGGCAATGTCCGCTAGAAGTCTTCTTACGCATGACCATGTATATTAATTGATTAGTTCAAGTAGAGGACATATAATAGTTACAATATGGAAATAGATGTGGAAGCACTATCCTCTATTATACGAGGGTGATTTTTTGGTAAATAGTAAAGGTGTCCTCCCATAATTCCCCTCCATCTCTTATGCACTTTTACTCTAATGCATTCTTCTTTTTCTCTTGTAGCAATACTGAGGAAGTTGTTGCAAGGTTTGCTCAAGTATCCCAACAAGAAAAGGGCAAAAAGGCATGCTCAAATTCTCATTGGCTTTTAAATGTGTTTCTTTGTTAATTATATGTCTCTGATGTCACCTTTCAATTTTTTGTAATTTTAACAGAAAGTTGGAGAGTCTTGAAGTAAGTTTGTTCGCCATTCTGCAGTGATCAATATATTGAGTATGATCATTCCATCTTTGTTACAGAAACTTCAATTCAAGCATCCGAGGATCATTATCACATACTTTGCAAAACTTATGTCCCCTTTTTTTTCTAGGTTCTGAAGAAAACATTCAAGAAGTTGGACCACGATGTTGATATCCAAGAGTTCCTTGGTTCCAGGTACTGATAGTTTTTATATACTTGGCATATGTTGCAAAAATGTTCCAAATTTCTTATGCTCTTTTGTTTTTCTTGCAGCACCCAAACGGTTGAGGTATTTATCATTTGACATTTCCTACCACATCATCATTTTCAGTAAATATCATTGATGAACTATTTGAAATTCCTGTTACTAATTAAAACCCTGTGTGCAGGAGATAACTAATCACTGGTCGTCATTGCATGGTCAACTATTAGATGTACAAAAAAGACTCAGGTGCTGTACCTTAGTTTTCTATTTTTTTTGTCTTTTTTTTAATATGATATACTGTGATTTCATAGTGATGGCCTGTAGCTACTTCAGTTTTGCAAGTCATATAAAGTGTTGTAGCAGGACACCTCAACTTCCAAGGAATCATAAAACTATAAGAGGAATAATTTCTGCAGATGTGGATTTGTCATTTAGAACAAGCAACATAGGTCAAGAAACTGAAAGTTGTTTGCTATGGCCTTTTCCTTAAATTTAGAAAGCCAATTCAGTGCATATAATGGAAGTTTCCAAGATAAGACCCACTGAAAAATAGTTTGAGAGTACTCTGTAATAAAGATTGTAGTTGGTCAGAATTTATGTTTTCCTTGTAAGGCAGAAACAGTAGTTTTGGTCTCCCCTTGAGGGAGAAAGAAATTTATAATTTTATGTAACCATATATAGACTCCCCCAGAGGTATATTTGTGCTTCTCGTGCGTGTAACTTTTCCCTTACGGAGCTTAACAATTCCATTAGCTGACGGCAAATGGCTGGAATTAGGAGTTTTCTGTTGTATCCGAGAAGAATCCAAAGCCAAAGGTGAGATTAGAAGTTGGGTATTAGAAAATGAATCATAGGCAGAAGCAGGAGTATAACTAACTGTCTTCTATCATTGCTCCAGTCCTTAAGTTGTAAAGTGAGAAGATTTTTAAGATCAAACAATTTCTTTCTTCATGATGTACGATCGAACAATTTCATTAAGATCAATGTTATATCAGCTTCTTCACCAAGAATACAATGAACTTAGAAATAGCTACTACAGGACAGTCTTCTACAGTTCCTTTTTCCTGATAGGACGTTTGTTTTTCCATATGAATGATTGAAATGCCATTTGTCCTAGGTACTAATCAACAGTTTTACATATCTGTAAACTTAGTCTTCAATTGTGTTTGCGAAACTGAAGTTGATGCACATTTGAGTCCTTTTAATCATTCCTAGTTCAACCATAAATGCTGCTGGAAAACAATTTTTAGGTTGAAAATACTAGTTATTCCAGCTCATTTTGTGTATTTAACAATTTTTTTTACTTTTCCTCCAGCAATTGGGCTGACCCAGACAAGATTGATAACATAAACCATATTACCACAATGGAACAATCTCTTAAGGAATCTCTTGGCCAAATTCAAGTGCATAAGGTAAAACATATTGGGGTTCTGAATTTATGATCATAAATGGACCATTTTACTGAAGCTTCTGTTGTTTTTGGTACAAATAGTTTTCTTTTAATGTATATGGATATTGCCAATGAATTAGAGAGCCTTTTGAGTATATCCATAATGTTGTATGCAATACCATAATCATGTTGACCTGAAGTAACAATTGCAGAGAATTCCTTCTTTGGGGGTTTAGCTTGGTCGCTTTTAATCCTATGAATTTTGAATAGCAATTGATAATCCTGATCATATGGTAATGATAACACCATCAAATGACAGTTCATAAAGTTCTTGGCATGTTAAGATTTACCATTCTGACTACTTTCCCTCTCTATAGTGAATGTGTATTAAGTTTATGAGAAAGCAATTTAAGTCATCTCTTATATCTAAATATTCAATTTATCAAAATTTTGTTTGTTAGCTTGGACAGTTCTTCTAAACTGCAAACTAAAACCAAACAGAAGGTAAAATTACCAATTATTATTTTACATTCCCCATGAAACTGAATCAAAGGTACTTGTTCGGTGACTTTGCTAATGGTTCATTTGTATACCTTCTCTAGATAAACTGGCATGTGAAGTTTATGGGAATATAAGTTGTTTTAAGACAAAATACAATGCTTCAGAACTTCTATTCAGTATGTTGTCATCCTCTAAAAATTTAAGCTATTTAGATGTTATATGGAAGTTCAGAAATATGGCAGCATATATCTCGTAGTTTTGGTACATAAACTATTACAAAATTGATCAGGTATTATGTTACTCAAACAGCTTCTATCCAACAACATGCAAGGATGAGCAAATTAATCACAAAATTGATTAAATGTTGTGTGACTCAGAGAGCCTTCACCAATTAAGCATGCAAGGATGAGCTTTAACACGTGAACCAAACGTTTAAGCCAAAATGACTAAATAATAGGTAGCTAAATCCACACTACAAGTCTATCATCTTTTTATTCTTCTGATGTAGAACGAGTATTAACAATCTCTTCTTGTCAAATCTTAAATCTTTGACATCCTCATTGGGCTTATACATTAGCTTAGGCATCATGATGTCTGACTTTCAAGTTTGCAACTTTCTCATCAAACACCATTATAAATCGGAGTACAACAATCTCCTCCACTAGTACCAATAATGTCCACCACAACAAGAATCCTTATAACAAGCGTCGTTTTAGGCTTAACTCAATGCAATGCCTATTCTCAAAGTTCATATGACAACCTTAGTCTTGCTTGTGTCAACCCATAAGATTGGCTCAAAGGGGGTGTTCACGACCCATGCACTCTTCTACTAGCTCAACAACTTGCAAGCTCAGTCTGGAAACTGGTCACCCCATTTTTTTAGTGATATGCCACTATGTTCATGCACAAGGCCATTGCCTTATGACTTTCCTTGTAACGGACAACATGGATATGGATCATACAATATTCACTCTTACTTTCATGTTTTATAAAAGTTTTACTTTTGAAAATTCTTTGTTTTATTTGTCTTGACAGGAGAACTTTGGAAAGCAACTTATTTCTGTAGATTACAGTGGCCAGGTAAAATGTCTTTTTAGTCGTGTCCTCCCTTTCAAGTGTTTGTTGCTCTATGCAAGGGAAATGGCACATGCATATTTATAAAGGGAACTAAGCTGATATAGTTCTGTCACTTTTGTTGTTCCAGAATGACATCCATCCATCCACAGGATTAGGCTGTGAGCAAGGAGCCTCACCCGTTTCATGGCTTCATATCAATGATGATCAGCAATTGATGCTTCCACAAGATGCTAATCTGCTACCTTGGAGGTGAGATGGCAATATAATTGCTTCCTATCATTCTTCATTTAGTAAGTAGCTATTGTTATTTTTCGAAGACAGTCGTAATTTTGTCTTATCTGTGCTGCTTCTTGTTTGCCCAATCATATACTGCAACCTATCATTCTTCATTTACTAATTAGCTTTTGTTATTTTTAAGATACAGCGAGTCTTTAGTTATTTGCTATCTGTGTCATTTCTTATTTGTCCAATCATAGTCTTCTTCCTATCATTCTTCATTTATTAAGTAGCTGTTGCTATTTCTAGGATACAGTCATTTGTAGTTTTGTGCTATCTTTGCTATTTATATCTCCAATCCTAGTCTAGGAACGTATGGTCACATTGCAATGATTTTCATGAACTTGTAGGGCCATCAGCAACTGAACTAATCCATTTATCCATAAAAATGGTAGCTAATTCTTTTTTATCAGCTTAACTGGATGTTGAATGTTCATTTTACCTATTTCTATTTTTTTCCCTTTTAGACTTGGTACTTGAACGTTTAGCAGTGTTAAGTATCCACTAATTTCAACTGCAACTTATGTGATGCTTTTCAACTTTCTAATGTACTTCATTTGGGATATCAATTTTAAGCAAGTTGTAGTTTTTGGATAGTTATTATTGACACTTTGAAAGATTTCTCTGAATAAGGATATGATTTGTTAAACCACTATTCAAGATCAAAATACTCCAAGATCAAGTCCAACCTCCAACTACATGTGAATCATCACCAGGACCTTCTAGTTTCAATTAATTCAAGGACAATCTAGAGTTGTCCAAACTCTTATGGAAAGTTGATGTCTTATTTTTTAGAGACATTGGATGCTCCATGGGCACATCTCTTAAAACTTATCATGCATACTTCAGCATAGGTGAACAGACAGGGGCCAATGACCAAATACAAGAGGAGTGCTTGCATGAATATAGTCAGAATACATGTTTGAGGTGACAACTGGGAGGACAGTATCCCTACAACTCTTACGGTTGGAATTTGCTATGTGAAAGAACATTCAAGCCTGAGGCAGAAAAAAGCTTGCAGGAAAGTACTATAGATTACCAAGTGAATCACTTTGATGCTAGCTTTCACAATTGGGTTTCCACATCTGGGACATGTGGTGTTGCAATATATGACGAGCAGTCATACACCCAAGTAAGATTTTGAATCATGTTTTCTCTTGTTCTGTTCCATAATTGGTTGATTGAAAGTGCAACCTGAAACATTGGCAACCACAAAATTTAGGAGGTTGCATGGTCATGCTTGAAGGTTTTGTCCCATCCACCTATGATGTATCTACACTCACCAGCGGTTGTATGGTTTGCCATGCACCCCAGCCTAACAGGTGTTCCCTGCATCCCCAGCTGTAAGTGTTGGTTCCTGGGTCAGGACACATTTTAGGACACAAGACATTTTCAATTAAGATTGAGATATTTCATGACACCAAAAGTGTATATGGGATATGCTTAGCACTCCAAGAATGAAAGGGAGACACATGATGCCTATTTGTTCTTTTCCTTGAGTTGAAGTTAGATTGAACTAGAAGTGATCTCTGCTCCTAATTTATATCTTTAAATGTGTTGTGATTTTTCATTTAGTTATACATTCTGCCACTCGATGCTTTCCCCCTCTTAAATTTTGCATAATCTCCTTCCAGTGTGCATATTTCGAACTTCTGAATTAGTAAACCAACTTATCTAGTAACTATCATTTTTCTCCTTGTTATATTCGATATTGTAACTGGTAATTTGCAGCTTCAAGTGATGGGATTATCCTAATTCATGCAATATTGTATCTGATATTTTGTTAGCAATCTCAAAGCTTTAAATTGCCTGATCTTAGATGTCAGGATCATGGCCAATGAGAGGGTAAATCCTCTGTTACCCTTTCTGATGTCTTTCTCAGAATAAGAACCTCAAATCTCATAAAGCCCTCGTGCACACGGAAGATGCCTGGGATATGTAATGAGAAAGCCCTGTAGATGTCAGTTTCATGTTTTGCCTGATTGATGATTTCCTGCTTGCCATTGCTTATGTTTTGCCTATTAATCTAACTCTTGTTTTCACTGAACCTAATTTTGCAGCAATATTAGAGAAAAGAGCTGGCTGATGGCAGGAGTCTTCAGTAAATACAAACTTAATCCATTGCTTCGAACAATATCTAGGCAACTGGCGATACGAAATGGAACCATAGAGTACTGGTATGATCGTTGTGTATTCCTGTAACAGGAGAATGTTTTAGATAATACTCTGCCGATGGTGCTCAACCGTGCAGCCATTCAACCGTGTTTAGGTTGTTTGTAGGTCATGAGGTTTCGTCTTCTCCTCTTGTTTCTTTTTCCTTTTTCCTTTTTTTTTTCCCTGTAGTTGTTGATCATTCTCTGAACTTCTCTGAACTTCTGCCTCCTCTTGTGTACCGATAAACTGCAACAGAGATTATTGACTTTGTAAAAGTGTTGATGTGAACCAACTTGACAATGTCAAGTTTTTTGCTTATGATCAGGACTGGATCAATCCATCTTGAGTTTTGATGTTCACCTTTGTTCTGATCTTTTCGAGCTTAGCATGCTAATTCAACATGAAAAAGTTAATTGTGGTGTGGTTTTTCTTAGCGCTGAATAGATTCCTTTGTCTGAGAACTGTTCCGATCGACAAGATGATTTAATCATACACCACAGTTAGAACTCTGGGAGAACTATTCTCTGGCCATTGAAGTTTCCCTCACTCGAGAGAATTGAGTTAGAATGATGAGCTGAAAAATTGTCCTGGTGATGTTATTGATATGATATTGAGACAAAAGATGTCCATATTGTCAATGAGAGGTGTTTCACAAGGGCTTTTCTAAGGAGTTACTCTTTCCAAGCCAAAAATGAATCATAGGCTATCATCACCCATCCAATAATTCACACATGTACCAGTTGTTCTTTAGCTAAGTGAACCTTCTGCCTTGTCTTCCTATGATATGCCACATCATTTGGAAGCTTGTGTTTGTAATTAACTCCTACTAGTCCAACTTCATCAGCAACAAGATGATGGTAGCACAACCTGTCAACACCTGTGTTGTCCATTAGTGAAAGAGGTAGGAGTTGCTGATGTGTCAATCAAGTGTTGCTGTTCCACCAGTTTGCCAATCAAAACTGTGGATGCTGGAAACTTGCACAACAAACAGCCTAAGATGAGCTCATGGTAGGTCAAGACATTGACATCACAAGCATGAAGCACAACTCAGGAAACAGTGGCAGGCATTTAAGTGGCATGTGTGTGCCATTTCATGTCAAGTATCCAACCACCTCTTATATCAATCACATTAAACCATGTGGCATATGATAGAAGAATACTCCAACAACATAAAACCATTTATCTAGAAAGAGTAACAGCAAATGCAATGGTATGAAGCAAACCTGTGGATTCCAACCACTACCAAAAACTTTTCTTACAGATTGAATGAACAAATGTAGCTGTACAGGAATGCACATTGCCATCTCTGATGCCAACCTTCTTTTCATTTCAGACCAAGACAGCTGATGAGGTTGATGAAGGAAGATGCAGTGTATCAAATGGTAGAAGAAAAAGCTCTTGTTGGGATTTATTGGAAAGAATCAGCTCAAGCCTCTCAATTGTACATATAGGCTGAAATGAACATAATCACAGGAAAGAAGTGCTTATCAGGCTTCTGCGGCAGCAGTGAAGTCAAGGGAGAAGCAAGAGAATGAAGAATTCGAGTTGAGATCAGAGCATGGATCAGGGAAGACTGATTCAGAATATCCAGAGACATTAGAACATGACCAAGAATTAGAAGGATCTGATGTAATGGACAGTGCGATATTTGAAAGACAGATAGCGGTGAAGGGATCATTTTCAATTCCTGAGAAGAATCCGGCGGTGGATATGTTGGTTCCAACAATGTTCTTGAGTGTGACCTGCTTAATCTTCGGGAGAGCATCTGGATCATACTCATCATTTGGATGGCCACCACAGTGACCGGTGAACCGAAATGCCTCATGCACGTTCTCCATCTCGACATTTGATACAACTATGTCTTCGATGAAGCCACCTCGCCCTCTTGTGGTCTTGAAATTTATGCCGGTTAACGAATTGTCGATATGGAGATGCTCGACATATATGAATGAGATTCCACCTGACATCTCACTGCCAAAAGCGAGAGCAGAACCGAGGGGTGTCTGCAGATGGACTTTGCTGATATGGATATATGTCGAAGGCATGCCATAAGAGATGCCATAGTTGTCCCAACCACTTTTAAGGGCAATCGCATCATGTCCGACATCAATGCTGCAGTCTTCAATGCATAAATTGGAGCAAGAATCTGAAGAGCCCAAATAGGATTGATAAAGATTAATCTGCTATTCCATCAGCTAAATAGGCTTAAATATTCAGAACAAGAAGATTGGTCTGTCATCAATGATTTAACAATGTACTTGTGATCACTTTTGGCTGAGTGAAAATTTTGTGAACAATGAACACGAAAACTTTTTTCTCAATGATGTTAAGAAAAGTATTGAGTTTTGTCGCTTTTAGGAGTTCTTGCGAATGAGACTGAGGATCATTTAGGAATTTATATCAAGGAAATGAGGATCAACTCCTATCGATCCAAACTGTGTAGTACAGCATCAAATTTACTCTTTTGAATGCACATAATAAACTAATTTACAAGGTTTAAAATCAGGAAAAACATTAAATGTTGAATTGCTTTCCGAGAGACGAAAAATGGGTTTGACAACTAAATGAAAGTTTAGCTAAGATTTGTTAACACATAACATTCGCAGAGAGGAGTATGAAAACATAAGAAACAAAGCTGATAATAATAATAATAGTAATAGGTACTTGCATTATTACCTGGTACTATGCCATTTGTATATGGAGAATCGGACGAAGCATGAATTGTTATGTTCTGAATCTCAACATTTCTGCATCACATGAACATGACTCTTTTGTGAGAAAAATTCCAATTCCAATTCCAAAGAAAAAAAACAAGCCGCTAACTTTGCTTGAAAGAACCAAGGAAACAGGATCCATAATATACCTGCAGTAGACAGGATGAATGCTCCAGGCAGGGGAATTCAAGAAAGTCAAATTTGAAACCACGATATCATTACAATTCACTAGTTCGAGAAGGTGAGGACGGCTATAGTTCAGAGATTGTGAGGAAAACCACTCCCACCAAATAAGACCTTGTCCATCGATGGTGCCATTATCACCTGTCGTGAAGATTAAATCAAGTATTTTACACTCAGAAATAGGACTAGCAGCCATAAACATGAAATGTCTGTGCGTGACACATCAAAGAAGCCATGCCTGTTATCACTACATCAGTCAAGTTATATCCATTTATCAAGCTGCGATGCCTTGCACCGGGTAGATCTAATCCTTGACCATAAGAGGGTAAGGACTCAACAATAGGCCATTGTGATGAATCCTGAAAGCGAAAAAGAAAAAAGATTAAGTGACCATTTCGAAAATTCTAGTCTGTGGATATAAAGGCTGTGACGTCAAATCCCTCTAACATCTTATTTCTCAAACTCCTTTATCTTAATTGCAGCACATCGATATCTCCAGGGCATAGAAGACAACATTTTGACCATATTTCCCTCATTCCAGAATGCAAAGTATTTATATAAGAAATACGAATGATTCAAGTGAATTAAAACCAAAACGAAATCATGAAGAGTTAATTATGCTCCGGTAACTTGGTAATCGCTACCAAATTTCGATCCACAAGCACCGAGGCCAAGAGAAATATATACATCATATTAATCTGAAGATTAAGGCAGCAGTACCAATCGAAGCAAGTCCAATTCCACTATTTCGAGTTCAGATCTGGCACTGAAGATGCCTCTATCATTTACTTCAACTACGGTAGTGTGCTATAATTGCCGAACATATTTAGAGAACATTTATTTGGTAGAATCAGAATACTTATTATAGCTAAATTTGGCTAGAATTAAGAAGAAATAGCAGACAGAATAAATTGATGTCTATTCATTATAATTCAGACCTGACTGCCGATTATAATGGCATCTTGCTCCAGGAAGAGCGTGAGATGACTGGTGAGATTGAAGCTTCCAGTGAGCCATCTCCCCTGAGGCACATAGAGCTGAGCACCTCCTTTGTCGGCAAATGACCTCAAATAGAACACTGCATTCTGAAAGGCCACTGTGTTCAGAGTAAGTCCATCTCCGACCGCTCCAAACTCCGTGATGGTCACACTGTGTGGCCTTGACGTCGAGATGTGCTTGTAGTTGCAGTAGCCATCACTGCTTCCACTGGCTTCAATGGCGTCCGCGACAGCTAAAATTAGTATCACAATTGCCTCTGGAAGACAGGCAGCAACAAATGCACAATGGTCAGCACCTGAAATAGCATGTGTGCTTTCTGGAATTGGCAGCAATTCGACATCAATGTAAAGACCAGCAAGAATGGATGGCGGTGATGATTCATAACAAAAAGGGCAAGCCATTGTGCTGGTCACTTTCCATCAGCAATCAAAGAAACAGAGAAGGATGCAAAAGGAGTCGAAGCTCTCAGAAGGATGAAAGAAGAGATCTTTGCAATATTTGCTGCAGAAGACCTCAAAACATTTGTGATCCGAATGGACCATTTCACACGAAGCAAGGACTGATTGCATAACTACTGCCATTGGTTGAGCTTAGAATCACAGTTCATATAGCCACTTCAATAGAGAAACTCATGGTAGAAACGCTAGAATTTGGCATGGCGAAAGACGGATGAAAATTACAACTCCAACAAAAACAAGGAGATAAATCACAAAGCTACCAATATGACATCAACCCAACACAGTGGAGTGCTGATCACCAAGAAAAATGAATCATTTATCTTAGAAAACAATGAGAAAAGGCAAGGAAAAAAAACATACTTACTAGCCTCTTCATGAATCCCCCCTTGAGACAAGGGGCAACAGAAGGCCAGAATCAAGCTGTTCCAACAGCAGAGGATTGAAGAAGAAGAAGAAGAAGTAGGATTCCTGATGTGAGAGAGCAATAGGAGGAAGCGCAGGGAGAGGAGGAGGAGGAGTGGTACAAAAGCCAGGAAGCTGCCCATTTATAATAAAAGAAAACTAGAAATGATAAGGGAAATAGCAGGAAATCCAAGTGTAGATTGACCAAAGACTTGAGACTCAGATTCTGACACCATTAGGAATTGCTTGTGGTGATGTAGACAGGAGCGTGGCCAGCCAATAGGAGTCAGTGGGTGGAGACATGGAAGAGTCACTTTTGGGTGGGCAATTTAGTCTTCATGAAACAGAGCATATGGAAGCAAGAAAAAAATAAGGAAGACAAGGGGGTCCTCCTCTCCATGCCAACTAATAATAACATTTCAGTGGCTCATCCCCTTAAAAACCATTGTCTGAGAGAGAGAGAAAGATAGAGAGAGAGAGAGAGAAGAATTTTACAGCAATGCAGTAGAACTTCAGTTAAACATGTTGCCAACAAAACACGACAGGAAATCCAATACAAGTAAACGACTGCTGTCTTAGAAAAAACCCCTAATTATTTCTCGTTCAGATTCTTTCCTCTCATGCTCTTGAACAGCAGTGAAAGAGTCAATGCATGCTATGTATGTGTATATACAAGGAAATGGCATTCGGCGGCTCACACAATACGATAGGAAAGACGGTTCATGTCAACGACTGTTGCCTTAAGAAACCTGTTGTGTTTTCAGCCACATCCTTTCCTCTCATCTTCTCCCCATGCCAACTAAATTTACCACAGTGCAACTCCTGATGATAAAAATGTTGCTTTCGTCTGGATCAGAGTTGCTGATCTTAAGGTACAGAGGATTTGTATCAGGTACAAACATGAAGTGTGGATATGTGATTGTATGCATATCTGTGTGTCAGAGAGAGAGAGCGAAGAGAGAGAGTGGTGGACAGAGCAATGTGGACACCAGCTTAGTGAATCAGGGATTGGTTTCATGCAGATGTTTGAGAGGGGGGGATGGGGATGTGATGTGAGAGGAAATGGCTGCGGCTGTAGCCGTGAGCGAAACAGAGCGGTGGGGTAGAGTGGGTGCATGGGACTGCGTGTCGCATGTGGGTTGCCAGGGAGGAGGTGGCCCCCCACAGCTTCAATCATGCCCTTTAGCCTGGCGTTGCTCAATCACTTTTTGACATAACATCTGTTTACACTAAACATTGTAACGCACTCGCACTCTCTCTCTCTCTCTCTTCGATGGCTGATGAGAGGGAGATGGTGACTTGGGAATGCCGGTTGGGTCCACGGAAGCATGGTGGAGACAGAAACCATGGGAGGGGTGAGCTGTGATGTTTGGTGAGAGGACGAGGGTGGCGAATGAGAGGGAGATGTTGAAAGGCCTTTTGGTTCACTCGTATTCAATTGCGTTGATGAGTTCTTGGAATTCCACTCTGCCCATCTGTTATTTCTTGTTGTTTTCTCTGTATTCTCCATCGATGAAGACAAGCTGTGTTTTGACGGGAATGCTTCGGGAGTCGGCCAGCCGGTGGGGGAACGGTGAGAGCGTGGGTGAGGAGGTTAGGTCAGGAGAGCCCATAGAAACGAAGGCTGGTGAATCACTCACTCCATTTATTTCTGGAGAATCATACAGATAACCAACCCACTTCGAGGTTAGCATGCATAGTCTGGTTGGGTATGAAGGCATTTGATTCTTGAGCTCCAAAGAAGATAATTAAGAATAAGGAATCTTAATCGATATGAATGATTGGGTGTTGCTGCCTTGGTTGGATTATGTTGAGGAAACAGTTGGTACTTATTCTCTATGCTTCTCAGATCACACCACTTTGCTGCTGGTTCTTACTTCACTTTTCTCAGGATGTGTTTGTTATATATGCTATCATCGCAAGGTCTCAGGCTGAAGGAGCCGAACGTGTTATCCTCCCCACTCTGAATGTGTTTATATGCCGACGAAAGATGTAAGCTGCTGAATGTGTTATCCTCCCCCACTCTCTGTAAACATGATTGCAGAGTTTAATTGCACCTGTACATTGAACTACTTGTTCTAAATAGACTTGGAAGATGATTCACTTGCAGATCACCAAAAGATGTATATATAGTAGGTGAGTCGTGAATTCTGTCATCTGACAAAAGATGTATATGTCGGTAAGAACTGAAAGCACAGCAACTCACCTCCACTGGTACCAAGAAAACATGCACCTTGATTGGAATCGAATGACCTGAATGTCCATGATTCAGATGGAAACCCGAAACAAGTAAGAAATCCTTGAGATCCTCAGTTGCTGCGTCCCCGAATTCTACAACACACGACAGTAAAAGTAAACCCTAATTGACTGAACTGTTATTGCTCAAGAACAGCTCAACTGACTCGGACCCTGAACCCACTGCTGTTTCTTCTTCCTCTGGCCCTTCCTCCCCTTAGAGCGTACGTAAGGCTTTGTATGGCTGTGCGGCACACCAGGAGCTTTACCATAGTGTTTAACAGCTTCCGGGCATTCTTTGGGCCTCTCAAGAGAACCTATAGACAGAACATGCTAGATCGGAGAACAATTTAAAGCCACTACTGAGAGTCTTTTCACTTAAATTGCTCGTACACAATGCTCAAATCTTAACAAGCTATATAAACTAATCCTGAGTAAATCAATCCTGAATATTTTTAAAGCCACTACTGAGAGTCTTTTTACTTAGAAATGCTCCTTCACAATGCACAAATGTTAAGAAGCTATATAAACCAATCCTGAGTGAATCTATGGCACAGTATCAAGCCCCTGGAGTCCATAGCAATGCAAAGAGTTCAAAGGAAATGCATCATTCTGTCAAAAAAGAAATAAAAATGCCTCCAAGCTAAAATACTGTAGCACCAGACTCGTTTCTATGATGTAATTGCATTGTCCAACAAAATGCACTGCACTACAGATGTTCTACCAGTCACAGTAAGCACAAGATCTTACCTCAATATTAAAAGAATCTACTCCCTTAAATATAGTTTCAATCCCTTGGAAAGAAAAAGCTGCAGTCGCTATGGGTATTCAAATCAAATCGAAAAACTGAACCAAATCAAACCTGAATCGAATCGGTTCATTAATAATTCAGTTTTGAATGCTATAAATGATTTCAATTTGGAAGGGTACTTTTCTTCAATTAGGTTAACTGGTTCGGACCCAACCAATTTTAATTTAAAAAAATACTAACTCAACCCAAAAGCCCCAAAAATCCTACTAAAATCTCTTCCCAAACTCGACGAGTTCACCGCCCTTCCTTTGTCTCTGCGGATATGAGTCTTATTTTTTTGTCATCCTTCTTCGTTAACAATCCCTTTGTTTATTTGTATGATTCCTTTGTTGATTTGTATGCATCAATGCATATCCTTCTCATTAAGAAAAATAGGGCCGCATGTGAAGTCGTTATTCCTCTAGGGCATCTTTCAATAAAAAATAAAAAGCCACTTGTGCATAGGTTCAATTGTTTAGAATATATAAAATGATATTTGTGATATAAATTTTTTTAGAATATAGGTCTAATTGGATCAAAATTCTGGTTTGGTTTAATTACACTGGTTTAATTACACTGAATTGATTCACTGAGCCAAATCGGTTCATTTGATATATATATATATATATATATATATATATATATATATATATATATATATATATATATATATATATATATATATATATATATATATATATATATATATA